ATGTCTACTGGGATGAAGACAGCGGTGTTGTGACAAAGTCACTGGCCTAGTAATCCAGAGTCCCTGATTAATACACTGGGCATTATGGCATTGGGTGGGTGGAATTTAAATTTAATTAATCTAACTAGAATATAAAGCTAGACTTGGTAATGGTGGCCCTGGCAACTATCATCAATTATTGTAAAAACCCATCTGTCCTTTAGGGAAGGGAACCTGCAATCCTTACCCAGTCTGGCATGCATGTGATTCTTGGTGGCATTCTGAACTGGCCTAGCAAACCATTCAGTTTATAGAGATGGGCATCAAATGCCAGCCTTGCCAACAATGTCCACATCCCAACAAAGAATAAAGAATTTAGATCAAGCTAATAGCTAAGGGCTAATAACGAAGCGTGCTTCAGTTTGAATCCCAGCACAGCATATTGAAAATTTTAACTCAGCTTTTAAAAAACTAGTTCAGTAAATATGACCATTAAACTACTGAATTGATTTTTTTTCAAGAGGTTGTGCAAAGTACAGCAATTTTGTGATCCCTTCAGTCAGTGGGTCTCCATTCCCCTGAGATTGCCCATATCACAGGATCAATGGAAGAGACTGGCAGCACTTAAGAATCAACCAGTTTAAAAAAGACTTACATTTCTATGGGTTTTCCACAACCTCAAGATATTTCAAAGTGCTTCACAGTCAGTGACAAGCTTTTGAAGTTACGTGTTATATAACATTGTGACCCCAGCTGATGGTAGTACTGAGCAAGCCGGATACCAGAGTGAAACCTAACTCAATATATCATAAGTTTAATTTCTGTGATTGGTTAATGTGATGTTAGTCATTGAAACAGGTTCACTCAAAGCTGCAAATGTCCTTTAATAAAAGAACACAGTTTTAATACAGAAAATAGAAGAAAAAGCTAAGCTACACATTTTGGTGATACAAATAAGGACAGGACTTGTACAACTCATGATAGGGCCCTGGGTAATGGTGTAGAACAGACAGACCTAGGGGTTCAGGTACATAGTCCCTTGAAATTTGTGTCACAGATAGACAGGGTGGTTAAGAAGACTTTCAGCACACTTGTCTTCATTGCTCAGATCTTTGAATATAGGAGTTGGGATGTCATGCTGAGGTTGTACAGGATATTGGTGAGGCCACTTCTGGTGTGCAGTTCTAGCTGCCCTGTTGTAGGAAGGACATTATTAAACTGGAAAGGGTTTTCAAAAAAATTTTCCAAGATGTTGCCAGGAATGGAGGGTTTGAGATATAAAAATAGACGGAAAGGATTTGGAGTTTTTCCGCTGGAGCGTAGGAGGTTTAGGGGTGACCTTATTGAGGTTTATGAAATCATGAGGAACATTGAAAAGGTGAGTAACAAGGGTCTTTCCCTAGGTGGGAGAGTTCAAAACTAGGGACATATTTTAAAGGTGAGAGGAGAAAGATTTAAAAAGGACGTGAGGGGGCAATTTTTTTTTTGCACAGAGTGGTTTGTATTTGGAATGAACTTCCAGAGAAAGTGGTGGATGCAGGTACAGTTACAATGTTTGAAAGACATTTAGATAACTACATGAATAGGAAATGTTTGTACGGATATAGGCCAAGCACAGCTAACTATTTTGGTTTTGGGATTACGGTCAGTGTGGACTGGTTGGATCAAAGGCTCAGTTTCCATGCTGTACTACTCTATGATTCTATATGACACTTTAGAAAGATTGTGCCATAAACAACAAAACAAAGTTTCAATCCGTTTCCCAGCAATATGCTTACAGATAGTCAATCACAGAGAAATATCACTCCTATGTCAACTCTTTAATTTCCTACTTAACCAACACTGTCCAGGCTTCCTTCAGGATTGTTGAGACAGCTTATCATTCCTTTCCAGTTCTGACAACTTGAAAACGTGTATACAAATTCTCTCAGCTTGGAGCCTTCACAAACTACAGCCCTTCCACTGGGTTGAAAACTGTTCATTTTTCTAATTCAGAGGATGTGTGTGTCACTAGCTGGACAGCAATCATTGCCCATTCTTATTTCCCTTGAGAAGAAGGTGATGAACAGCCTTCTTGAACTGCTGAAGTCTATGTGGTGTTGGTACACCCACAGTGCTGTTATGGAGTTCCAGGATTTTGACCCAGCAATAGATGAATGAAGGTAATACATTTCCAAATAAGAATGGTGTGCCTTAAAGGAAAACCTGAAGGTGATAGTGTTCCCATGTGTCTCCTGCCATTATCCCACTGGGTGGTATGGGTCATGGATTTGGAAGGTTCAGTGTCCTGATCTGAGAATTTTCTTCTTCTTCTAAGAGGAAACCTGTCCTCTGAACTGACCTAATTCATATGAACTGAAGCTGAACTAAATGAAAGGCCCCTGATTTTTTGAGTGTCATAAACTTAGTAGAACAAATATTCCATCAATTAAAACCACACATGTCCTCCTGCTAGACACATAAGGTGGATCAGTGGTTAGCACTGCTGCCTCACAGCGCCAGGGACCTGGCTTTGATTCCACCCTCTGGCGACTGTCTGTGTGGAGTTTGTACATTCTCCCCGTGTCTGCATGAGTTTCCTCCAGGTGCTCCGGTTTCCTCCCACAGTCCAAAGATGTGCAGGCTGAATGGATTGGCCATGCTAAATTACCCGTAGTGTTCAGGGATGTGTAGATGAGGTGGGTGATAGGGGGGATGGGTCTGGGTGGGATGCTCTGAGGGTTGGTGTGGACTTGCTGGACCGAAGGACCTGCTTCCACACTGTAGAGATTCTTTGATAACCAAACCACATGCTTCTGTGGAAACGATAGGCCATTGTTCCAATGACTTTATGACCTCCTAAAAGTTACATTTATAGAACTGAAACTAAAATCTATTTCCCTCTATTTTGAAAATTCAAATTTACACATATTAATATAAGCCTTCAGCAGAGCAGGGAGAAGCAGCCATTATGCATATCGTAAGCTCCCAAAACGTAAGAAGATTGTTCCTCAGTTCTCGAGAACAATAGCAGGTATAAACCACTGCGTCTGAACCTCCATTACTAATAGGACAAGGAGACAGGTCCCGAACTCACCCCAGCCTGAATAGGGTTCAAACTCCATGATGTTCAGCAGGAATCTGATCTATGCTGGCCATTCAAGCCAACTGAGTCAATCCCCACCCCAACTTCAAGTTCAGGTTACCATGGAAACATACACCTGTTCAAGTACATTGCAGCCAGAGATATAGCCAGTGATTGTAGAAGCTCCAAAATTGGTTGCATTGGGGTTGTTATCTGACCTGTTTGGCCGCACTATGAACGCAATTTCCTTGGCCATCAAGTCCTAGGGTGGAACTTTGACCCGGAGCCTCTGGCTTAGAGGAAGGGATGTTATACATGGTGCTATAAAATCTCCTTATTAATGTGATATAAACCAGATCACCTGTTTTAGTTAATTATTAATTGATTGAAGGACACCATAAGCTACCACTGAGACAGAGTTGAAATGTTTAGCAATATTGACTGAGGGATAAATGTTGGCCAGGACACTGGGGAGAAGATCCCTGCTCTTCATCCAAATGATAACAGCCTCCCAAACATCAATCTGTATAAGCTTCTGGAAGGGTGTCTTGGACCACAGAGCGTATCCAAGTGGCTCTTTTCAGATTCAGTTAAATGTAATTAAAACAAGGCTCGACAACCGCAATTTGCTTAAAGATGAACATTTGAGTAATGGGGGAGGCAAACATCCAGTGATATTACCGCTGGACTGTTAATCCAGAGACCAAGATAACATTCTGGGTTTGAATCCCACCATGGCAAATGGCATTTGAATTCAATGAAAAATGTCTGGAATTAGGAGTCTTGTGATGACCATGAATCTGTTTCCAATTGTCAGAACAACCCATCTGGTTCACTAATGTCCTTTAGGGAAGGAAGCTGCCATCATTACTTGGTCTGGCCTACATGTGACTCCAGAACCACAGCAATGTGGTTGACTCTCAACCGCCATCTGGGCAATTAGGGATGGGCAATAAATGCTGCCTAAAAGTGATGCCTTCATCCCATGAATGAATAAAAGAAAATAAAAGGAATAATAAAAGACAAAAAAGGAACATTTATTAAGTAAATAGAAAGAATGAAACAGAGAAAAGAAACAGTAAGCCTCACGCCCTTCTGCATATGGGGGAGCCCTCAATCGACGTCTCGTCTGGAGACTGAGGTTGGTACTGTCACTGTTCACAATCCTGGTCCAAGGTAAAGTCCAGCAACTTGGAACAAAACTCACTCTCTTATACGGTGTAATGAACAGCCAGGCACAGAAAGAACAGCTACAGAAAAACATATTGATTGTGCCGGCTTCAGCACATACAGGAAGCTCATGCAGCTGTCGAATATCATCAGTAAGTTTAGCCCTTCAACCGATCCTATACAGGGGGGATTTGAACTCTCAGCCTCCTGACTCAGATCAGAGTGCTACCCAATGAGTTATAGCTGATACCTCACACCTTCGAATATGATAAAAATACATATTAATTACAGAAATTCTTTAAATACATTCAAAACACAATGAGAAAGGGAAATGCAATTGTGTTTAGTATAAACTACACTCTGACACAAAGTGATTAGAAAAAAAACTGTGCTAACAGATGGAAAAGGCATTCTTGGTTAAATAATACATGTTTATCTCTATTTTAATATTAAAAAGGAACATTTCCTGTACAAACCAAGAGGTCGACAACATTAGAACACTCTTGGGTTCCCCCACGACTAATTTTCAGTTGCATAGGGCCTTAAACTTAGTAAAATGTTCCAAGTTACTTAAAGCTTGCATTTGTGGGGAATGCAACTGCTAGGTGGAACACTGCAATCCATAAATGCAAAATGTGAGAAAACTACAATTGATTAAATGTGGCAAAAATGACCATCTCTTATGCTGAAACTAATTCCAAGTAGTCAACAATAACTAGGCCACAACAATTTCTTACATTAAATTTTAACTTTGTTGTAAGATTCAGTAAAACACAATGATACTTACAACCACTCAGTAAATTTCTTTGTAAATTGATATTTCTTGTGACCGTTGAATAGCCTGATCTGTGAACACATGCAGTGCAACATTGTCAGACAATTAATAAGCATTCTCCTCACTTAAATCAGAGGGTCCTACGAAAAGTTTTACAGATTGGTTTTAATAGTTATTGTCTTTTCCCATTTTTACGTTGGGAAGATAATCTTTGTTTAACAGGATGCAGGCCAGGTGGATTGTGCAGGCTAGGTGGATTACCCATGGGAAATGGGTATTCCAGGGTTACAGTGGGCTTAGTCTGGATGGGATGCTCTTTAAAGGGTCAGTGTGGACTCAATAGGCTGAATGACCTGCTTCCACACTGTAGGGATTTTATGATTAACTCCAAAGGAGCATTATCAAACATAATTTGACACCAAAGAACATAAGATGATATTAGGGCAGATGACCAAAAACTTTGTTAAAGAAGTAGTTTTACAGTCTTGCAAAGGACAATGAGATATAAATGTTTAAGGAAGGAATTAGGGCCTTAACAGCTAAAGGCACAGCCACTGATGGTGGAGCAGTGAAAACCAGGAATGCTGAACAGCAGATTTGAACAACACAAATATTTAATGGACAAGCATTTAGTTACAGCGTTCATGCAAAATTGGATGGAATTTGTTTCACAAATTGCTGGAAAAATTCCAGAGTTCCATGTAATAAAAACAGAATTTGAATAATTCTGTCACTTTCAATAAGCAAGCCTATCATTGTAGGCTTGTCTGGTTCATACATGGAGCTTTGCCTAAGAACAAAATAAAAACATACTAATAAGCCATTTATCCTTTTTTTCTGTACCATTCATTTTTGAGGAAGCCAACATTTATTGTCCATTGATATAAATGTTCTTAAGTGTTCCTAGTTAAATATAACACATTTCACTCTATTTCAATGTCAAAAAGAAATGTGTCCTGTACACACAAAAGAGGTCCACAATATTAATGGTTTGTCCAGTTAATTCAGAGGATTGTTAAGAGTTGATTACATATAAGCCCACAAAGGGTAAGGACAGCAGATTTCCTTCCTTAAAGGACATTCCATAAACTGTGTTAAGAAATTCTGACACCTTTATAACTTTTACAGAATGCAGATTTTTAAAATTGAATTCAAGTTCTCAAGTTGCCCTAGTAGCATTTGGAATATTCACTTTAACTGGATTTTAAAGCCAGGCTTCTTTGGATTCATGGTAGGGCTGTGTTGCAGTTCACCTAAGAAGTCTGAGTTGCTGTGGTAACATGCACTTCTACCCGAATGTTCAATTCTAGAGCAATGTTTAGTGATGGTAGACATGCCAATGTTCTTTTCATTGCAGCTGACTAGAATGTCTTCCATTCCTATAGCCTGCTAAAGGCATGTTGATTTGCAGATTGATAGTCTGCCTATTTTAGACACGTTACGAACACACATATCTTAACCATCAAGTCGTGGTTGCAGTTTGAACCCAGAGTTTCTGGTTCAAAGGCAGGAATATTACCTACTGCACCAAAGGATCTTTGGATTACTAGTCCAATAACCATAATACTGCAGTGTCCATTAAAAGTTATGTACTAGGGATATTAGCAGAGTGCTAATATTATTAATCTTGTGATCCAGAAGCCTAACACTCCATTGATATGATTTAAAATCCCAGAGAAACCGGGATAAATTAAGTTCAATTATATTAATTAAAGTGAAATTAAAAAGTCTCCGTAACTATGACCATAAATCTATTTGATGTTGTAAAAACTTGTCACTCATATCCTCCAGGGACGGAAGTCTGCTGTGATTGCCCAGTCTCATCTACGTGACTCCCAGTGCACAGCAATTGGTTGACTCTTAACCACCCTCTGAAATGGTCCTAACAAGCCACTGAGTTGCAGGTAATGCACCGCAATCTGTTCAGGAACATTAAATACTGGCCGTTCCAAGGACAAATGTGAAAAACAAAAAGTTGCAATCAGAGGGAGTTCCAGATGGTTATTTTAAAATAAAAATGTAAAACCCCATGAAACTTCATAAATAAAAGTTTCAAAACTGGGAGCTTTAACCCCTTATAGAAAGCAACTGAGGTGTTGGTCACTGGAGCAAGTTTCTAAACTTTGATATTGGTCACCACTTTTGTTCTTAATTCTTTCATGAGATGTGGGCATTGCTGGCAAGGCCAGCATTCTTAATTGCCCCTTGAACTGAGTGGTCTGTGAGGGCTATTTCAGAGGGCAGTTAAGAGTCAACCACATTACTGTGGATCGGTCTGTTTTCAACAAGGCGTTGGTTAATATTGGCAATTATTTTTTGTCTTTTTAGATTTTGGGATGAACTAAAAATGTGATTATCACAAATATGTGATATGGTGGTTAAGAAAGCACAATGGATACTTATATTCTATGCCTTGGCTAATAAAAGTGAGAGCAGGATGGTTATGCCGGAACTGGTTAGGCCACAGTGGAATATTTATGTGCCAATCTAGTCACCATTATAGAAAGGATGTGATTGAACTAGTCAGGGTGCAGAAGAGATTTACCAGGATGCTGCCTGTGCTGGAGGGTGAGATAGGCTGGGGTTGTTTTCTTTGGTGCAGTGGAACTGGAAGACATGTATAAAATTATGAAGAACATAGATAGGATGGTTTGGAAGGTATTTTTTCCATTAGTAGAGGAGTCAACAACCAGTGGCATAATTTGAGTTAAGAGGTACAGGCTAAGGCAGGAGTCAAGGAGAAATGTTTTCATTCAGAGAGTGGTCAGAATCTGGAACTCCCTGAAAGGGTGGTTCAATAACAAACTTTTCTAACATTTAAGCAGTAGTTAGATATTCGCTTGTATTGTCATATTCTCCAAGCTCGGGGCCAAAAGCTGGAAAATGGGATTAGTATAGTCAGATCTTTGTTGACCAGTGCAGACTCTACAGGCCGACTAGGATTTGAGTCTGTAGCGTAAATGAATTTCCCTGATAGCTCTATTGGTTAGTGCATAAATCAAAGGAAAACTTAATGAAAGAGACAAATTAGTCAAGATTCAATCACTGCTTTACTTCTGGCTTCAGAATGATACCAGTAACTAAAAAGGACTAAATTATGAGCCTTATATTCTGTTGAGTGCAAAGATTAAGGGATGATCCCAGTGAGGTTTTTAAATCAGGGTTAATTGCGTAGATTGAGAAATTGATGCCGCTGGTGGAGCAGTCTAGAACAAAAGTGGCGGATAACTTTGATATTAGAGGCAGGCTATTTTGGGTGATATCAAGAATTACTTCTTCATACAAAGGATGGTGTAGATCTGTAACTCTGCTGTAGTGGCCTTGGAGGAAGTGCAATGTAGATTTACCAGAAGAGTAGCTGGATCCAAGGCTTAAGCTCTTTGGGAGGAGGAACAAATTGGCAGTGGATTCCCTCAAAGGGTAAAGGTGTAAAGATTTCAAGATATTATTGGAAGCAGATAGGTTAGCTCGAGAAAAGCTAATTCCACTTGTTGGACAGGACGAAAGGACGTAATCTAAAAATTAAAGTCAGACCTTTCAGGAGTAAAATTCTATACACAAAAAGATGGTAGAAATTTGTAACTGTTTTCTGCGAACAGCAATTTATTGATTGTTAATTTAAAAACTTTGACAGATTGCTGAAATGTTAAAGGGACAAATGTGGAATTACATCACAAGTCAGTCATGATCTCAATAAATAGCAGAATATGCAAAGCATAATTTTTTAGAGAAAGGAATAAGGTTTAGAGATGATTTGATGAAAAACATTTTCACCCAGAGGATGGTAGGGGTCTGGAATGCATGCCTGGGGAGGGTAGTTGAGGTGGGAAACCTCATAACTTTAAAGAGTACTTGCAGCAGCAGTTGAATTCTCATAACATTCAAGACCATGGGCCTAGTGCTGGAAAGTGGGACTACTGTACATTTGTGTATATTTTTGGCAGTACAGACTTGATGGACCAAAGGACCTCTTCTGCACTGTATGATTCTAAGAGGTTTGAGGGGGCTGAATGGCCTCCTCTTGTTCTGCCAACCATAGTACATGCTCTCAGTGTAGACAATGTACAATCTGTCATGTTAATATTCCTGCCTTACTGAAGTTCACTTCATTAATGACCCTCTCTGTTTCAGCCCACAGAGAAATCTGGATGGTTTGGTCAAGAATTCTTCATAAATTATGAATGGGAGCGATGATGATGACGATGATGAAGGCACATCACACGCAGAGGATGAGATTCAATTTGGGCAGGACTGTTTGCCGTCTCGTGTTTTTGACCCTTTGGACTTTGTCACTGCTGACTGGACTGGTCCAGTCTCACATCTGCCCCAAGGGCTGCTCCTGCAGCAACCAGTTCAGCAAGGTGATCTGCACAAGGTTTGAGCTGCGGGAGGTTCCTGACAGCATCTCAACTAATACACGCTACCTTAACCTGCAGGAGAACATCATCCAGGTCATCAAGGCGGATACCTTCAAGCAACTACGGCACCTGGAGATTCTGCAGCTCAGCAAGAATCTGATCCGCCAGGTGGAAGTCGGAGCCTTCAACGGCCTCACCAACCTCAACACGCTGGAGCTGTTCGACAACCGGCTCACCACGGTGCCCAGTGCGGCTTTTGAGTATCTGTCGAAGCTCCGGGAACTTTGGCTGAGGAACAATCCCATTGAGAGCATCCCTTCCTACGCCTTCAACCGTGTACCCTCGCTGCGACGCCTAGACCTGGGCGAGCTGAAGAAGCTGGAGTACATTTCGGACGCGGCTTTTGAGGGCCTGATCAACCTGAGGTACCTCAACCTGGGCATGTGCAACCTGGCGGAGATCCCGAACCTCACACCCCTCATTAAGCTGGAGGAGCTGGAGTTGTCTGGCAACCGGCTGGAGGTCATCCAGCCCGGCTCCTTCCAGGGCCTCACCAACCTGCGCAAGTTGTGGCTGATGCACGCCCAGATCCAATTGATCGAGCGCAACGCCTTCGATGACCTGCAATCGCTGGAGGAGCTCAACCTGTCTCACAACAACCTGACATCACTGCCACATGACCTCTTCACACCTTTGCACCGGCTGGAGAGGGTCCACCTCAACCACAACCCCTGGCATTGTAATTGCGATGTTTTGTGGCTCAGCTGGTGGCTGAAGGAAACAGTGCCCAGCAACACTACCTGCTGTGCCCGCTGCCACTCACCGCCCAACCTGAAGGCCCGCTACATCGGCGAGCTGGACCAGAGTCACTTCACATGCTACGCACCGGTCATTGTGGAACCACCCACCGACCTCAACGTGACCGAGGGCATGGCGGCTGAGCTCAAGTGCCGGGCGGCCACTTCCATGACCTCTGTCAACTGGATGACCCCCAACGGCACATTAATGACCCATGGTTCATACCGGGTGCGCATCTCAGTGCTGCATGACGGCACGCTCAACTTCACCAATGTGACAGTGCAGGACACAGGCCTGTACACCTGCCTGGTCAGCAATTCAGCCGGCAATGCCACAGCCTCAGCCACACTCAATGTCTCGGCTGTTGACAGCAGCAACAGCTACAGCTACTTCACCACCGTAACAGTGGAGACAGTGGAGGTGGTGGATGAGCCTCGGTCGACTGAACGCGAGCCTGGGCCCACACCATCTGGCCGCTGGGAAACACCTTACTCTACCACCTCCCACACCCCCCGTAGCACCAAGTCCACCGAGAAGGCCTTCACTGTGCCCATCACCACCGAGGTGACAGACAATATCATGGCTGGCCTGGACGATGTGATGAAGACAACCAAAATTATCATTGGCTGCTTCGTTGCCATCACCTTCTTGGCCGCCGTCATGCTCATCATCTTCTATAAGCTGCGCAAACAGCACCAGCTCCACAAACACCATGGGCAGACCCGCACCATCGAGATCATTAATGTGGAGGACGACATGGCGGAGGCCACACCTGGTGACAGCTGCCTGACTCTCCCAGCTGTTGACCATGAGCACCTCAACCATTACACGGCTTACAAGGCCCACTATAACAACAACACCACCACCACTGGTGGAGGAGGCGGCAGCACCCTGAACTGCACCAAAAACCCGCTTCACAACTCTGTGCACGAACCGCTACTCTTTAAATCCAGCTCCAAAGAGAACGTGCAAGAGACGCAGATTTAATAACATGCCCACCACTGGTCAGTCAACTCGATGCTTAAATGCAAAACTGCAAACAGGAAAAAAATGGGGAGTGAATAACTGGCTGCAGAACTGAACGCTTTGTTGCACCTCCAAACCCTTCCCCTCTACCACAGCCCTTCCAAGCCCCCAACACCCCCTGCCCCACCAACGTTTATCTTCCCCACCCACCCATTACCCCAATTACAGTCTAAGACTGTTTCGGCAGATTAAGGTGTGTAGCAGTCCAGTGTAACACTGTATTGTAGCTGTCAATCAGTCCAGTTATTGACTTGTACAGATGGACCCAATAGGGCTGCAATCATTGGCAATGTCTCTTTTCTCTCTTGTTCTGTGTCTCATTGTAAACCCCTTTCTTGGTTCTGTAGTCCTGTCTGGGCTATCATTTTCAGTGTATCCATTAGACCCATTTTCTAAGCTTTGCACTAAGTCATCTGCTGTCTTCCATCAGTCCCATTGTCCTAACTGTACCATCCGGACAGGTAGCCATCTGCAGTGTCCCAGTAGACCCACAGTCCTGACTCTTTCATTGGACTGGTAGCCATCTGCAGTGTCCCATCAGTCTCACTTTCCTGACTCTATCATTCAGACTGGCAGCCATTTATGTATCCCATCAGTCCAAGCCAGCAATATCCCACTTTGTCCCATTCTAATAATGACTTTCATGACTCTTCACTCTGGACTGACAGCCATTTGCAATCACCAGTGAATAACCTGGTTGACCTTTCAAACGGCCCCGAAGTTCAAAAAGTCAACACACTTCTGACCAAGATTAGTGACATTATCATCACAAGGAACATGAAGCCCTATAGCATCTTATATTTTCCATCTGTGGAATGCAAATGAGTCAGAATTTGAAAGGGCCCTATCTCATCCTCTGGTGGTCATTTTGAGGATGCTTCGGGGGAAATATGACATTGGATATACTCAAAACCCATGTTGCAGGTGAGGAACCAACATCAGAATTTCTGCGATGTGAAGCTACAAATGAACAGTGTCACTAGGTTGAATTAATCTCAAAGACTTCTTGGGAGATTATTACAAGCAAGGCTTCAATGCAGCTGTGGAGAGAGGCAATGGAACCTCAGGGGGCAGGGGGTCTACAATGGAATTCTTTCAGGAAACACCCAACAACGGACCTCTCGTTGATATTTTGTGGGCTGTCCTATCTATTCCCCTCCAAGATGTTTAACCAAACAGTCTGTAGGGTTCTGGGATCTGAGGAAGATTCTCAACCAATTAATCTAACTCCCATTTTTACAGATAAACTGTAAGGTCTCAATTTTGACCCTTGTGATTGAGCCAACCCCTCCCTCCTAGCTGGGTGACATTTACGAATGCTTTCTGTGGATGCAAGAGGACATTTTGAAACACCAGCTCTTGAAATTTGATTGTGAAAATACATGACCCTTTCAAAGGAAAGGGGAGGGGGGTAAGCACGTTTTAAACTCCATTATGACAAAAGGAGGTTACGTCTGACGCAGTTTATTTTTTAATGGTCTAGTGTAATGGGCACTGTCCTGTTCTTCTGTCAACAGCCCCACACTGTAGGTCAAAACTGAGAAAAGGGAGCAGGGATCGCCATTGCATGCTCCAATGTCTATTCTGTTATAAGCTCAATCCTTTCCTTTACACATGGATCCAATTTCCTAGCCCCAGATCTATCAGCCATTTCTGCAGCACATTCGCCACTCTCTGACTTCTTGTACTTGTCACCTGACTGACAAGAGTGGGTAGGGAGTTGGGTCTCAGTGGGGAGAAGCAAGCCAGCACTTCACTCTTGCGGAACCCATTTCCATGATTATTGTTCTCTGTTTCTGAACCCTTCCTCCTCTTTCTTGATGAGGCAAGAAGATTAAGCATTGAGTGTAGAGCCCAAAGGATTCACAGCAATCATTAAGTTTTAGTTTCTTTAACAGAATTATTCACAAAAGGGTGAGGTTAGATGAAGGAAATATTAGCAACGTCAAAGGTACTGAGTTGCTTCTTTTGTGATTCTTAAGTATTTCTGAAGCTTGTTGTGCGGTTCATATAAGAAAAAGGAAACACAGTTACTTTATCTTTTCTGGTATTATATTTAACTGTGAGATGTAAGGGGTCACAAAAAACTATACTAGTATGAGAAAGCCTAATCAAGACTGGCCTGTCCACTCTTGCCAAAGGTCACTGGATGTTCAGTTCCTTTCGAATTCTGGAATTCCAAAACCTTTGTCACTGGGACATAGACACAAGCTCGCTCACTCACTCCAAAGTATGAAGCGCTCTCACAACAGCATTAAGAAGCCTCAACTGAGATGGTCCTTAAAAGTAAGAAAAGCTCCCTGGTCTACACTGTGGGGCAACAACAGTCATGAGGCCAATCAAAAGCCTGATACATGGGAGACACGGGGGTGGGTGGGGGGGAACAGCAGGGAGCAGGGGAGAGGTGGAAGAACCAAGTCCCAGTCAGAAACAAGCAAAGAATAATATGAACAAGAATCTAAATAGCACAGAAATTGGAGGAAAAAAAATATTAATTTGTACGAGGGGATGTTACATTTTAGCAATAATCCCATCCCATAGTGCTGGAGATAATTTTTTTTGATGCAGTCTGATTCCAGTTAAAATGTAAACATGCACTATATTTAGGACAGGCAAGCAGCTGATACAAGATGTGAAGACCCTGGTGTGCTACTAGGGCTTTTTTTTTTAAGGGACTACAGGGACTGAAGGCCTGCTGTCGGCCTTGTCAGGTGTTCTGCCATTAAGGCCCTGTGGAGAAAGAATCTGTGCTGCAGACTGCTGAAAGAGAATCTCTTGTCACTGCTATGCATCAAAGCTTAGTTAAATTACCCTCCCGACACGTGACTTTGCAATTAGTTATCTCTTCCTTAATTCTCCACCCTATCCCCAACCTTTTGTCCCTTCCTCTCAGTCCCACGCCTCACCCCACCAAAACAGGCAGGAGTTCCCAAAAGAGGGAGTAACACGTTGAGTGTTTCATGTCCTTTGCACCTTCTAACAACACATGTTTTCTCTACATTTCTACTGAATGTCATACATGATGTTAAACTTGAGAAATTTGTACAGAACCATACAACTGTATTCTCTGAATTAAGTAAAAAAAAATGAAAAAATGTTTGTCAGTGGAGACATACTGCTGTTATTGAACAGCTGTTACTTTTACAAGTGTTATGTTATAGATTGAAAGGGTTTTTGATTAAATTTAATACCCAAACCTCTTTTGTGATTTTCCAAGATGGCCTCTGTCTCCCAGAATGCATTGCCAGCTTAAAAGGCCAAAACAATGCGTAAATAAGATACCCAAAAGGCCTAATTTATTTTTAAAAATACAAATAAGCAAGGGTTACTGTAATTTATAACAATGTAAAGTATTCACTTCTGTCATATTGGGCAATTCAATTTATAAAGTAGTTAGTTATTAGTGACTTTCCACAATGGGCTTCTTTGCTTCCACAAAACACAATGAAACACAATTCACAATATCCAGTTTAATAATCAGTAACCCAATGCAGCCATCTCCATTTTGCAGGTATTATATAAATTGGCCTTCACAGTACAGGTTGAGGATAAATTACCAACAAAACAAGGAAAATCAAATTGAGGAACTTACCAGATTTAATATAAATAAACAACATGGTTATGGAGAAAATAATGAAACTAAAGATTGATGAATCTTCAAGATCCGATGGTTTCAGTTCTAAGATATTAAAAGAAGTGACAAAAGTGTATACACTTTAATCATGATCTTCCAAAACACCCTTCATTCAGGAACTGTTTCCTCAGATTGAAAAATTCCCAATGTTGCTTCTACTGTTATAATTGATTCCATGAATAAGAAGTACTTGTTGAATAATCCTAGTGCGCTAATAGCTGTACTACAACCAAAATAAGATAATTGGTCAAATTCATAATGTGTTACATTTAGAAGAAGCAATGTACATTCATATGCTGGGGCACATTCTCTGCAAACAAAAGGAATATCATCAAGTCTTGCATCTCTTTTGAATTACCCAGGAGTCTGATGAGCTTTTTTATAGAGTCATAGAGCTGTACAGCATAGAAACAGACCCTTCGGTCCAACTCATCCATGCCAATCAGATATCCTAAATTAATTTAGTACCATTTGCCAGTATTTGGCCCATATCCCTCTAAGCCCATTCTATTCATGCACCCATTCAGATGCTTTTTAAATGTTGCAATTGTACCCGTCTCCACCACTTCCTCTGGCAGTTCATTCCATCTACGCACCACCCTCTGCGTAAAAGATTTTGCCTTTAAGTCCCTTTTAAATCTTGCCCTTTTACCTTAAACATATGCCCTCTAGTTTTGGACTCCCCTACCCTGGGGAAAAAGACTTTGACTATTCACCCTATCCATGCCCCTCCTGATTTTATAAACCTCCATAAGGTCACCGCTCAGGCTCCGATGCTCCAGGGTGAATCGTCCCAGCCTGTTCAGCCTCTCCCTATAGCTCAAACCCTCCAACCCTGGCAATATCCTTGTAAATCTTTTCTGAACCCTTTCAAGTTGGGCATCTTTCCTATGGCAGGGAGACCAGAATTGAATGCAGTATTCCAAAAGTGGCCTAACCAATGTCCTGTACAGCCACAACATGACCTCCTAACTCCTATACTCAATGCACTGAGCAATAAATAAAGACAAGCGTACCAAACAGCTTTTTCACTATCCTGTTGACGTGCGACTCCACTTTCAAGGAATTGTGAACCTGCACTCCAAGGTCGCTTTGTTCAGCAACACTCCCCAGGACCTTACCATTAGGTGTATAAGTCCTACTCTGATTTGCCCTACCTTTTGGTTTCCTGTTCTTTTTGCCATAGCAATACCTTGGCCAATCAGAGTTGACTTGTTAACCAATAAGCATCCTTTGCTCCTGTTGTATAAGTTGTTATGATCGTTTCAAATTTGGCATTCATCCTGCTGACAGCAAGCTAAGGAAATCTTTTGGAAACATGCCTCTCTTTTCATCAAAGGCAAGAGAAATAAACTAGACACACTATAAGGCTATTAGTTCTAATGTAGATGTCCTAGAATCCTAATGACAGAAGATAGCTTTCTTTGGAAAGATAGGAAGACAATATGGACTTTTAAAAATGGTGGACTTGACTCTCCAATTTAGAAGACCAGATCCAGCTGAATCCATTTCTGCCAGTAGGTTAAAGGTGATGGGCTATGATACACTCAGCCAAAAATCATGCACCTAGTGATTCATTTAAAATTAGAGTTGAAACAGGCCACATTTTGGCTCTTGCAAGGCTCTTGTCTGAAAGTGTCATGAAAACAATGGAGGAGATATAAAGGATTATCTCTGTTTAATGTGATCATCAAAATAGAAGTTAGTATTTGTATGAGGTTATCCATTTGAGGAGATTTAATAGCGTTGTGTACATTTTATGAATTGGAGATTTTCTTCATTATCAAATGTTTATGGGTGAGAGCTGTATTAAATTTTAGAAGTTTATTCCATCTGCACATTTCCTGAAATCTGCCCACAGTGTATCCAGGATGTGTGACTATGCTGGCGGCACAGAAGGTATGAGGCCATGGGAGAGAATGGGGGACATGATTTGCCATTGAATTGACACCGGGTAATGAGCAATGAGGGACGATGGTGGAGGAGGGGAGGGGGAGCTGAAGGTGCTGCTGCTCTGAGGGGTGAGGACCCAACAACTTATGAATGGGATAATGTTCCAGAGATCCAAAGTGGGCCTTCTAGCCATTGAACCTCAGCATTCATCAACCCCTAGTGGCTACATACGCTCTCTTCTGGGGTTACTTGGCCTCGCTCCATTCTGCATCCGATCTCCACGAATGAAAATTGTGCGCCTTGGAATGTTCTCTACAAAAGCTAGTTGGGAAATTTCCCAATTGGAGCTGCCTGCCTCAGCAGTGAAAATCCTATCCAGAATAGCTGAGCATTTCAAGATCATAAACTGGCTAGAGACAGCATGGATTTGTAAAGATTAACAAAATGAGATTATATTTTTTGTGGGATTAAAAAAACGTAAATGAGAGTGTGTCTATGGATTTTGGACTTCCACAAAGCTTTTGATAAGGTTCCACATGAAAGACCTTTGACAGACGTGGCATGGAATGAGAGGCAATCTAGTGAAATGTGCAGTAGGTCAATTAGGATAGAAGACAATGGGGAAATGGACATGCATCAAATTTCAGGGTGTAACTAGTGATGTTCCCTTCAATGATCTGTGCTGGGCAGCTTTGCTTGAAGTTCAAAAACATCTGAGGTGAATAGTGAGCCACAAATTTACTGATGACTCCAAATGGGCTGCGAATTGTAAATAGGAGAGAACACTGCAAAGAAACCTTGTGATAGATTGCCAAACTGAATGGAACTCATTGTGGGGTAGATCATCAACTCTAAATTTAAGTAAGGTAGTATTTTCAAAAAGTCAAGAACTTTCTTTATTCTTTCACTGGACATGGACATACTGGCAAGGCTAGTAGTATGCTTTGCCAATTCCGAATTGCCTTTGAACTCAGTGGCTTGCTAGACCATTTCAAATGGCAGTCAAGAGTCAACCTCATTGTTGTGGGTTTGGAGTCACATGTAGGCCAGACCACGTAAGGAGGCACATTTCCTTCCCTAAATGACAATTCATGCTGGTTGTTATGGTCACTATTACTTCTCACACAAACTTTACATTCCAGGTATATTAGTTAGATTCAAATTCTAGTAGCTGCCATGATGAAGCTTAAACCCATGCCCCTAACGACTATTCTAAAAAGCTGTTCAGACTTGGGGGCGGCAGGTGGTGGGGAAGGGACGAGTCAGTCAATAAATTGAGATCAATAGACATTAGGCTAATATATGAAGTGTTTGCTGGAACCAAGGTAAGCAAATGGAATTGGGATTCTGATCATTCATGTTCAATTGAATTGTGAAACCAGCTCAGGTGGTGGGATGGTGATGGTGGAGGGGATCGAAATGGCTTCCTTGTGTTCCTGTATTCTGTTTACCGTGAACTCCTCAGGTGTAAACCAGCTTAGTGATGAGGCTAGTTCTTCTGATTTCTGGTGACAAAGTTAAAATCTGGTCCTTTCATCATTTCCTGCAACCCATAACACCACCCTCACAAGAGGTAGGCTTTGAGAAGTATCTTAAAGGAAGGGAGCGAGAACTGATGAGAAGTGGAGGAACGAATTTAAATGATTTAACTTTTTAGGGAAGCAACTCTAGAATTTAAGATGTTAATGGCTAAGGGCATAGCCAGCAATAGTGAGGTAAAGGAAAGTAAGGAAGTGCAAGAAACCAGGGGTGCATAGATCTTGGAGGATTGTAGGTGTTGATCGACATACAAAAATGAAACTGCATTTCAAAAGTAATTCTGTTGCTGGAAAGTG